CATCCGGCGAAGCCGGCCGCGGGGCTCCGAGGGAGCCGGGGCTACGTCGGTCCCCAGGTCGGTCTCCAGCCACGCTGCCCTCGGGCCCCTTGCCCAGCTACACCGGCCGCTCTCGGGGCGCGCCCGACGGCTACTCACGGCGCCGGCGTCGGGGAGCGCTGAGCTCCTGCGGCTCCCAGCTCCCTGGAGAAGTGAAAGCGCGGTTCCCACGGGGCGCGCTTTTAAACCCTGGGGGACAGGTCTCTGGAAAGCCCCGTTTTCCTCCCTCGGCGAGGCTGGGAGTTTCCGACTGGGGCTGTACCTTGCGCCTTTTGCCGGGAACCAGGTCCTCCAGCTGGCCCTGGGAGCGGCCGGTTTGGGGTTTCTATTTCTTGCTATTTAGGGGCTCCTTGGTGGCGACGGGATTAAATGGGCAAAATTCTAAATTATAGGCTCTTGCTGAGATCGAATCTATTTTATTTGTGCCAAATGCGGACTTCAAATGGAAAAGGGCAGAGGGGTGGGGGGAGCTGGGCTCCGTTGGCAGTCATGCGGCCAATGTAAAGAACCCCAAAGTTTGCTGGAAGGAGAAATGGGGCAAAGAGACGCGAGGCGAGTGGATCTGCGGAGGGGAATTGGGATACTTTCTGAGTAAAAGGAGCCGGGTCGGGGAGGGCGGGGAATAGGGAGCAGCTTGCTGGTCCGTTTGATGCCTGGTTTGTGCACTTTCCTAGCTCCACCAAGGGATCAAAAGAGCCCTTTTCCCCTCTCGTAGGTATTAAAGAATCAAGACCTGACATCGCCCAAAATTACCAGATCAGTGACAAAATAAAGGGGCAGGGGTCACAGTGTAGAAGACAACTGTGGAGGAGATTTATGATGGGCGTCCTCCGGAAGTTCGTGGGGAAATAGGAATTAGGTTATACACTGCCCTGGCCGGTTTGGCTCAGTTGGTTGGAGCATTGTCCAGAGCATCAAAGGGTCGGGGTTCAATTCCGGTTGAGGGCATGTACACAGGTGGTGGGTTTGATACTTGGTCAAGGTGTGTTCAGGAGGCAACCAATGACTCTCTCTCTCTCTCTCTCTCTCTCTCTCTCTTTCTCTCTCTTTCTCAAATCAATTTTTTAAAAAAGAACTATTTATATATTTTTTAAAAAATTAGGTCTATCCCTGTTTTCCTTACACTGCCCACGGGTCTCCTGCAATTTCTCTGCCTGGATCCCTCCTGGTTCTGTCTACTCCTTGCATCACCTGTGACCTGAAGTGAGAGCTAAAGCAAGGAAAGGAAGCCAGGGTGTCCATCATGAACAAGGAGCCTTTATTTCCTGAAATGTATCTATAAGGATCTTGTACCATAAATTGTTATCAGCAAGCAATGCTAGAACTCTAAACTTTGAATAATGACTACAAGTGGCTTTCTGCATATTTTTCAGTAGATTTCACTAGAAGCTTAAGAATAGGGTTACTCTTTATCCTTTTTCTTTGCTACTTCTTTGGAGAGTTGAAGTTATTGAGGACCTACTATGTGGTCCTCAACTGTGCTATCTGAGGACCAAAAAATTGGAATAGTAAGAAAAACAGCAACCTGAGAAAGATTAGGAAACCTGAAAAGCACCACATCAATGTTGAAATGTCCTAAACAAACATGGAAAAGGACATTTTGTAGGACTAACTTATATGTCTTATTCACATGTGAGATTTTTTCCCTGGTTTCACCTCTGACACATACCCTGGTGTGCTAACAGCAAGTAAGCAGTGTCCTTCTTCCTGAGATGAGAGGATGATGTGGGGTCCAGAGTTTGGCCAGGTAGTACCTTAGTGAGTCCAGGAGGAGCAAGGTGGGGTGTTGCACATTCCCCTTGACTACACACCACAGTTTTTCTAGGAAGCAGGTTAGCTTGCTGGCTAAAAGCTGAGTTTCTAGACTCTTCAACCTGACAAACCTGGCTTTGAAACTTGCTTCTTACCAGACACATTATGTACGAGGCAAAAAAGTTTCTTTGGGCTCCAGATTCTTCATCTGCAAAAATATTAATAATTGACATCCTATATAATAAAAGCCTAATTTGCTAATTGTCCAGTCCTCCGGTCAGCCATTCAACCAATCAAAGTGTAATATGGTAATGATATGCTAAGGCTGCTCAACTGCTCGCAATGACGTGCACTGACCACCAGGGGGCAGACACTCCAACCGCTAGGTTAGCTTGCTGCTGGGGTCCGGCTGATCAGAACTGAGTGAGACAGGCCAGACAGATGCTGGAGCCTCCGGGGGCCTCTCCCTGGCTGGCCA